GAGGCCACTTTAAAAATTTTCTCCTAAAATCTCAAATTATCTTGGGCAGGGAACAACTTAAAGCTCAATATGATTTGATTAAGTTCATTTGCAAAAATAAACAAGATTAAGATTGATGTCTAGGTGGTAAAATAAAAAATAAAAAAATTGATGTCTAGGAAATGTGTTCAAATAAACATCGAGTCAAATATCAACAAACAAATAAACACCGAGTCAAATATCAACAACCATTGTTTTTAATGAATAAATGTATATTACCAAGAACTTTGTGGTCTAGCGGTATCTTATTTACGTTTTAGAATAGGATCTTATGGTCTAGTAATATTTTCTCTACCTCTTAGAAGAATGGATGTTAAGAGTTCAAGTCCTAGATGAGCAAAATGAATTTGTGTTTCTTGCCAATGCTAAAATAAATAAATAATTTGTATATTGAATTAAAAGCAGATTGCAAAGGCTACATTTGGGCCAAGAGAAAGAGGCTCAAGAGCCGGCCATAGAAGAAATAAATAATGTTTTCGTGTTTACCGTACTCTTCTTTAAAGACTTTCAGAAATAGTGGGAGTGTGTGTGTGTCTGTGTTTTTGGAATTAGAGAAACAAGTTTTTTATTTTTATTTTTTTTATTATAAAATAAAAAATAAAAGACATTTTTTTCTAATACAATCACATCAAAATAAAAGACATTTTGTGGGTACGGTTTTACTATAATTACTTAGAAATTTAATCACTTTAATGGACGAATTTCACCATTCTAATGGTGAATGGTGAAATGGTGAAATTTCGCAAAGAAAAATAGTGAAATTGATTGTTTAAATTAATGAAGTTTAACCACGTCATTTCAATAAATGAGTGATGTAAAGCTCTTGTGGATAATTGGATTTGCACCACGAAGTACTCAATACAGGATAGGCAATTTTATATGAAATTTACGTGTCAAATCAACAATTGACGTAGTCAATTAAAGGTTAATGATGTACTTAACTAGGTCAATGGCTCAACTTGATATTATCCAATTTTGGTTGACATTGGTTTAAAATTTTAAAGGATATGCCTCCCACAAATAACAACAATAGCTACAAATTTCGTTCATGGCTGAGATTGAGATCGAATACATATCGGATATGATATAAAAAATAATTAGTCAAAATTAATGGATAATTATTTTTGTTAGGTTTTAATTTTTTTTTCTTTCATAAATATTTTACGACAATAAAACACCAAATATATATATATATATATATATATATATATATATATATATATATATATAATACATCCAAGCAAAAGAGCCTTAATTTTGAATGGAAAGTTTGATTAGGATAATTAAATCATATTTAGTCAATTTTTCTTTATCTCGTTAAACAAATGACTTTTTTCTCCTAAATTTCTCATTTTTTTTTTCTTATTTCTCAAATTTTTTTTTTTTTTTTTAATGCTTTATTACATTATCACATTCTTAAAGTAATGATGGAATGTTCCATTTTACATCAAAAAAATGCAAAACAAATATTTCATGACCATGTTTTATATTGTTTTAGCATTTGAATAATGATAAGTAGTCTGATTTTTGATATATCTAATTGATATCATCATGATGTTATTAAATATGATAATATCATCATTATATCATCTCTTTTTTCATATAAATTTAGTCGTGTCGGATTCCTATCATTATTTTTAGCATTTTGATTATTTTACCTTTCGGATTTTGAAGAGCCATTAGAGTTTATTTGACCTCAATGAAAGGCTAAATATGTTTTATTGTCGTGTGGAAATTCTATTTAGAAAGAACAACGTCCATTCCTATTTTTAGCATTTTGATTATTTTACCTTTCGGATTTTGAAGAGCCATTGTGCTACGTTTGGTGTGCAGGAATGGAATGCTCATTCCAACCATTCGTTTGTTTGGTGTGCAAGAATGGAATGGAATGACCATTCCAATGGATTGAAAATCCATTCCACGGAATGAAAATCCATTCTATTATTAAACCTATGGAATGGCCATTCCATTCCATAGTAAGATTAAAGTTTTTTGTAATATTCCCAATAAACCCTTCATCGTATTCCAATAAGGCAAAAATATTTCGCATAGACCAAAAATCTTTCACATTCTATTTTTCGCATTTCTCGAGATTCTTTATTAGACGTGGTAAAGGTCTTTCACCTTCCCCCTCTTCCAAATATACATAGAGCTGCCGATAAAAAGTTGCAGAACCTTTAACCAAATTGCAGGTATTAATCTCAATATATATATATTTTTGATAAGTATGTATTAATCTATTTATCTTCTGAGTATATCACTTTTTTATTTTTATTTTTTTATTTAATTTTTGTGTATTTGTGTTGAATCGTTTGTGTGATTTCTCCATCTTTCTCTCTTTAAACATTTACGTATGAAGCAACGATTACATAAAATAAAAATTAATAATCACATAAAATAAAAAAATAGTTTGGCCTATTGACCTACAACTTCAGTGCTCTAGTGGTTGATCTTTATGACGGTAGAGAGGTTTATTAGCAAAATTCTTTAAATTGATTCCTTTCCAAAAGAGAGGCGTGTGATTGCTCTCTCTGCTATGGGAAAGACAACCGACAAGCTTTTACTGGGATTAGCCTATATTTTATTTTTGACTTTTCAATTGATCTGTTACATGATTATATCCTTGCATGGTATTTTTTTTTACTGGTTATAAAGAATATATATGTATTCTTTATTCATTCCTTCCAGCAAGTTCTTGTAGGTTATTGATGCTATTGATAATTACTGATCTGCAAAGATTTGAAAAGTTTGTCACTATGACATCTATGTGTTTGTTTTCAAGTATTTGTCTGGTAGTTTGGCCTCTTTCCATGTGGCAAATGCAGCATCTCGAACCTAGGATATGTTGCAAATGGAGTGGTTTCTTTTTAGTTTATGTTTGACTTTAAAATTATACAAATGTGACAAAATCATCATTCAATTTCTATGTGGAATAAGATACTGTATAGGCAATTTGGCCTTCATTGACAATGTTTGGAGTAAGAATTGCTTATTTGATTGACACAGAGAAGAATTCTTCTGAAAATTTGTTCCTATCACATACTGTTTATCTTTGTGCTCCCATAATATATATAGACACACACACACACACACACACACGCACGTACTATCAAATAAATAAATTTTAGTAGTGCCTTAGAGCTTTTACTACTTAGAACTTGCAGCCTCTGTTAAATTTTAGTTTTAGTTGTTGAATAATTTGCTTTTTATTCTTATTTTTTGATCTATATTTAAGGTTTATAATATTGCATCTCATAATTAAGTTTAAATTTATGCAGTTATGGCTCGTCTAAGTTTAAGGACAAGGAAGATGATAAGGAAAAAGAAATTAGCAGCAATTAATGTATTTAGATTAAATATATTGTATGTGGTGAATTGGTGGTTTCATCTAATGTGCTGCTTATTAGACTTCTGTAATCAAAGGCGATCGTTAAACTCGAGATATGTCATCAACTTTTACTCAAATAGAGAAATTCTATACAAATTAGTTTATGCAAGTGATGTGACTTGCATAGAACAACTTAGGATGAATAGGCAAACATTTACCAAATTGTGCTCCATGCTTAAAAGTATAGGTGGGTTAAAAGATAACCAAAATATGTTGATAGATGAACAAGTAGCAATGTTTATTCACATTCTTGCACATCATGTCAAGAATCGGGTCATTAAATTTCGATTTCAGCGGTCAGGAGAAACTATCAGTATGCACTTTCAAGATGTGTTGAATGCTCTCATGCGTCTTGAAGGACTCTTACTTAAAAAACTAGAGCCGGTTCTTGTTAACTTAACTGATGAGAGGTGGAAATGGTTTAAGGTAATTAATCTTTATTTTTATTTTTTTGAAAGAATATATCTTTTATTTATTAATAACCATAATAACTTATTTTTTCTAAAAAAAAATTAGAATTGCCTTGGAGCTTTAGATGGGACACACATCAAGGTAAGTGTACCTATAAAAGATAAGCCTAGATATAGAACACGCAAAGGTGAAATTGCTACAAATATGTTAGGAGTGTGTTCACAAGACATGCAATTTATCTACATATTACCTGGGTGGGAAGGTCAACTGCTGATAGTAGAGTGCTTCGAGAAGCAATGGACAAGAGAAATGGATTTAAAGTTCCTTAAGGTAAGACTTTTTCTATTAAAAAAAATAATATTTACACTTCAACTAAATTTTAAATAGAATTTCCAATTAGTACACTTATACTTGTCACAAATATAGGTTACTACTATCTTGTTGATGCTGGGTACACAAATTGTCAAGGATTTCTTGCACCATATAGAGGACAAAGATATCATTTGAATGATTGGAGGGATGGACACCAACCTACTAATCCTCGAGAATTTTACAACATGAAGCATTCTTCGGCAAGAAATGTGATAGAGAGATGCTGTGGACTACTTAAGATGCGTTGGGCAATTATGAGAAGTCCTTCTTTTTATTCGACTACAACACAGACTCGAATCATTTTAGCATGATGTCTATTGCATAATCTTATAAGGCAAGAGATGTCTATAGACTCATTAGAGGAAAGTTTGGAAGAATAAGAACATACTCTGAATGAAGTACATGGTGATTCAATTACAACAATCGAAACATCAAATGAGTGGAGTGCATGGAGAGATAATTTAGCAACCAGCATGTTCAATGAATGGATGGCAGCTAGATAAGGGAGATGATAATTTTTCATATCAGTTTATGTTCTTTTTAAATTTATGTTTAATGAATGGATGGAAAATAGACAAGGGATCCAGATAATTTTTTTGAGAAACGTTCTTATTTTTTAAGAATTATTTTTTAATGTGACATGTTACTTTTTATGCATAGGTTATTATTAATTAATTTTTATATGTCTTGGTTGATATATTGGTGAAGTTTTTCTCTTTCAAATTTACATGTGTGAATGCATTTATTAGTTGTGAAAATTATATGTTATATATATCTTGTACATGTTAGGATGGAGTTTACACAAGATCAAATAAGAGGAGCAGGTAAAAATAAACGGATCTGGACAGATGAAGAAGATATGAAGCTTATTGAGGCTCTTCTCGACTTACATAACACAGGTCTCTATAATGCCGATCGTGGATTCAAACCTGGCCATGTTACAGCTATAGAGAAAATACTTGCAATTACTTTGCCACATTCTTATTTAAAGGAAGACCCCCATATTAAATCTAGAATGAAGACATTAAAAACCCATTTTGATGCTGTTCATGATATGTTGCATGGGCCTAACACAAGTGGGTTTGGTTATGATAATTTGAACCATTGTGTGGTTGCTGAGAAATCTATGTGGGATGCTTACCTACAGGTATTTTTTTGCCTTCATAATTTTATTTTTCTCTTTCATTTGTATTATGATATTCTTTTCTTTTTTTTTTCATAATTTTGTATTACGATATTCTTATAATTGCTATTTTTTATAGAGTCACAAGAATGCTGCAACATTTAAAGACAAACCTTTTCCATTTTATAAGGATCTATGCACCATATTTGGAAAACACCGTGTTACCGGAAATGATGCTGAAACAGCGGCTGATGTTATGGAAAAATTGGACAAGGAATGGATGGACAAGGAAAATGAGAATGAAAATGATGATGTTGGAGATGGTTTAGATGATATTGACACATCGATTTCATTTATGCAATCTCCCACAATTGGAAAAACTAATGAAGTGAGCTCTAAAAATAAAAAGAAGAGGAAATATCAAAGTGTCGCAGAATCATTGTGTGAAATAGTGAAACAATCTTTAACTTTGATTAGCTCATATATAAAATCAAGTACTGAACGCCTTAGCCAAGCTATTGAAGATGCTTCAATTAATGAGTTGAAAATTAGGCTGCACGAAGAATTGATGAAGTTACCAAGTTTGAACAAAACTGATCGAGCAAAAGCTTTGGTTCAAATTGGTCGTGACCGTGACTTGATTCAAATTTTTTTCACACTTGATGAAGATATGAAGGAAGAATTGGTGAAGACAGTCATTTCGTGAAGATTTTACTTAGGTGGCCCTTTTTGGATATTTAGCTAAGCAGGTTTTTAATTTTTATTATGAATGCTTTGGATAATTATTTGGTTAATTTTGTGATGGGTATGTGGCACTTTTTGGTGATATTTTGTTTAATTATTTTGATAATACTTTGGACTCCTTAATATTAATTTGTTTCTGCAATGATATTAACTTATGATATTAGTTTGATTGTGACCCATAATGAAAGAAAGACTTACCTAACAAGTATAGATTGGGTAAGAGACTTGGTCGTTCTCTTGGTTTTTTTTTTTTTTTACTTCAAATAAATTTTTTTTATATATTATTGAGATTGATATATGATTAAATATATATATATTTTTAATTTTTTAGCCTTTACATCAACTTTTTAGGTTAAGTATTCAATCATGGTGGCTACAGTTTTGTGCTTTCGTCTTTTGGGAATTTAGATATTTTTCCTTTTGCAGTCATTTATTAAGATTAATATCTCATTAAAAATAATATTTTATTTTATTTTAAGATTTTTCTTTATTTTTTTCAATGGCAGTACTGGGCATCTTATAATATTCTATAATTCATCGTCAGAATTAAAAAGTAATGTAAGCCAATGAAAAGGGCATTTTTGAGAAAAATCATTCCATTTCAGATTTGATAGTAGTCAACCAAACAATAGAATGGAAATACTCATTCCATTCCATAACGATTTATCGTGTCACACCAAACATTAGAATGGTAATACTCATTCTATTCCATTCTTTTTCTCATTCTATTCCAAGTTGCATTCCATTCTATTCCTGCACACCAAACGTAGCCTTAGAGTTTATTTGACCTCAATGAAAGGCTAAATATGTTTTATTGTCGTGTGGAAATTCTATTCGGAAAGAACAACGTCCATTCCTTTTCTATCCCATGAACACCTCTTGACTCGGGACCCATCCTTCCAAAAGTTATGATAAAGATCCAACATATTTTTAAAATTTTAAATCACTAATAGTGCAAGATGGACACAAAAAGGAATGTAGGAGAGCAAATTCGAACTAATTCGAGGTTCAGTGGAGTCAAATGGCCCTATTGATTTTTTTTTTTTTTGGTATTATGTATCATGTGTTTTTTTAATTATATCTCGATAAAATATCAAAATTGTCATGTGACGACCCAAGTTTTTCAACCCGGTGCGTCAGTGATGAACCGAAAGATGATCCGATAATGGATCCGAAATGCAGAAGAAAAATACAAACAACGGTCTCTAGAGATACAACATGACTCTAAGACACCATTGTGACCCTCAATGAGGTCACGAGACCCAAAGGAATCAAATGCAGAAACAACATTTCAAAAACGGACAAGAATGCACCTTAGGGCAAAATTGTCATTTCCAGCATAAAAGTGGGTGCCATTAGAAAGGCAACGAAAAATCAATGAACTTAGACTCAAAAATCACTTGATTCGGAGTCTGGATGAAGAAGATATGGCTAACAGAAGAAGAAGGGGCAAAACGGTCAAAAAAATGGCAACCAAGAACATCTAACTGGTTAGGAGACCTTCCTAACCGGTTAGGAAGCCAAAAATCTCGCCCAAAACACTGCCCATGCACATGTAACCGGTTACTCGTAACCGTTTACATGTGAAGGAGGCAGAATAGGCAGCCCAAAAACCTGGCAGCAGGGTTTTTTCGGGAAAAAAATAGAAATTTGAGGTCCAAAATGACATTTTCTGGAAAAACTCAAAGAATAAATCCCCCTCAAAATCGAGTTTTCAATGTGAATCGCACGAAAAATTGAAAAATACACAATGTAAAATGCACAAAATGCCCTCCCAAGAAAACTGGTTCAGACGGTCCAAAAAGCTGCTAAATTTAAAAACTGAGAGCTGAACTTCGAATGCGATTTTCGATGCTAAGATGGCATTTTCTGGAAAAACATGAAAAAGAAACCCCCCCTAAAATCATATTTTCTATTCAACCATGTAGAGAACGGAATTTATTTCCTAAAGAAAATTCCCAAAATACCCTTAGGTCTGAAAATGCAACAAAAGTGTAAAATGAGTCCGTAGGAGGCTCATTTCACCAAAGAAGAAGCTTTGCCCAGAAATGACCATGCACACAAACGTAACTTACCTAGTAAGATGTGCTACAAAGGTCCATAGCCCAAAAATATGGCCGATGCAAAATATGACCCCCCCCCAACGGCCAAAATGCCAAAAATGAAATTTGGAACAAAAACTTGGAATTCAAAACTATGAAATGATTTCAAAATGCCGCTTGGCCCTTGGCCACACTTCATACATGGTGAATGAATGCTAATGGAAGAATCAAAATGGAATTCCCACACCCAATGCAAACATGGTGAATCAAAAACTCAATATTTTACAATACTTTCATAATATTCCATGAAGTCAAAATTTACATAGGATACAATTTACATGTCATTGGCCTCCGGCCTCATCTCATACATGTCAAATACATCGCAAAGAGTGTACTCATGTACACATTACATATAAGGGATCAAATGTACACATGTTGACATATAAGACTACAATTGGCATTCCAAGCCAACCTTCACAAAAGTGGAAGTCTCCAGGTCCACAAACCATCCAAGCATAATGAAGACCTCAACTTTGATTCTTGCACCTGAAATATGCCCCAGTATCGTAGGGGTGAGTAACATAAAGCTACTCGTAGAAAATGAGCATGCATCGACCTATGTTTTACAAGTTGCATGATTTAATCATTGTGGTTCATTCCACCTAACGTCTATGTCAAAGGTGAGACTCAAGGAGCATCCTAGCTACCTAAGATCATTTCTAGCATCAATCACATCATTCATGCAATTTTAGTAACATAGGTTTATGCTTACACAAAGCAACAACATAGAAGCATGCTTACACAAAGCAACAACTTAGGAGTATGCTTACACAAAGCAACAATATATAGATTCTCAAGGTTATCAACTTGAAGTCTAAAATGCAACATCAACTAAATATAACAATTTAGCATAATTAGAATATCTAATACCACACATCAAGACATAGATTTTCTAGGTTATCAACTAGAAATCTAAAAGTGTGAAATCAACTAAATATATCAATTTAGTATGGATGTACTTAACAACATCAAAATCGCCAATAACCAAAACCATAAGTTAACAAGGTAAACATGATTGTCAACTTGGAATTGAATGCAAAAACAAACAGTGGAATACTTGGACATCACGCTCGGAATTCTGCCGAGACCTTAATGGTTACTCCGGGCACTAACCCGTAGGGAAGACCACCCTAAGTGTGCACTTTCTCAATGACTTAGAGGACTCACGTCCCCGTATTAGAGCTAAACCCTAGCCATCTTAACTCAACAATGTTCCAAGATTCCAAAATAAGCCAAATAAGTTCATAACTTATACATATTACTATTACATAGTAGCAAGTTAGCAATATAACTCTCAATTGTGCATAATAAGCATTTCATATCCATAATTCTACGAAATCACAAGCCAATAATATATTCATATTAGAAACATACTCTCATGAATATAAACTTAACAACAATGCTCTACAATGCATATAACACAATCTAGTGAATACATTACAAGTCTAAATCCATGCTCTTAAAATAGAAACAACTTCTAAAATATGATTAGATCCATGGATACACAAGATAGAATTTAATTACATCAAAATAATTAAACTCTCTAGATTTCAAATCATTTCTAATTGGACCCAATTTAATATATGTTAATAGACATATCATGGTCATTACATATATTCACACACTAGCTTAATTAGGCCCATGAAACCACCAAAATAGATTTTAATTAATTCCCTTAATTAAAGTCTCTAGATTTCTAAACTTAACCAAATGCTCTCAAATTAAAGTATGTTGACAAACATGCCAAAACTTAATTTAGAAGCATAATACAATCAATTCCATGCAAGGTATGACCATGAACTTGAATCTTTCAAAAAAGATTAATATTAATTAAAAAGAGCAATTCTTATTAAATTAATCCCAAATTAATATATGTTAACCAACATATTAAAATAAGAGTTTCTACCATGCCACAGTTCAAAACCAAGTTTCTCATCATCATGAAAATTAAATCTTATACAAAGAATTAAATATTTCAAATTTCCTAGATTTGATACAAGGCATGCATATAGGTTGTATAAACATGGAAAACACATAATACAATACATATAAAATCCTAAAACAGTCCCTACCTCCATTTGAGATGAAATCTCAAATCCCCACCAAAATAAATCGGCTCCGAATCCGACGAAACTCCTAGGTTTTGTCAGGGACAACAGCATGAACGTGAATCGCAAGAAAGCTCCATCAAAAACACAACTTGACTTTAAACCCGAACTCAAGAAATGGCCAAAACGAGATTCCAATCGGTTGGAATCAAAGGCCTCACCGAGGGGAACAATAAATACAAAGGCATCACCACTTTTTAATGAAGGGAAGAAGTCCAAAAGAGGAGAGCGAAGATGGTAGCCATGGATGGAGCTTGGACCGGCCATGAGAGAGGAGAGAGAGAGAAAAATCTGATTTTTCTTTCTAAGACCTCCTATTTATAGAAAAACTCAAAAAGTGCCCCGAACGGGCCCCGCCGGGTTCGGAAAAGTGGAATTCGCGCAGACGAGCTCAAATGGCAAAATTCTATGAACAAAAAAGATTCTAAATGGGAAAATATGAATAACGGAAAAAACAACGTCAAAAACCGAGTCCCGAGTAGAGAGTTATGCCCAAAAACAAGTTTGGCACAAACTAGGGCTAGAAACCCTGAAACTGGAAAACATGGTCCAGGAGGAAATTCTAAGAGTCCACGGCTTGACAAAATGTGAAAATAAATCCCATACAAGGATCCAGGCTCAAAACAAGGCATTGAGGAATAACTTTCATTAATTGCACAGTGGCCCCTCCAAAAAGTGAAAACTGCGAAACTATCCCAGAATGAAAATATCTTCCAAAAGATATTTTCTTAAATACCCCTGAAATAAACTAT